TGATCCAATACCTACAGCTTCCCTCAAGCTCCTTATGTCAATTCTAAAAGCTTAGCCTCACATGTCGCACACGCACAGAGGGTGCTTCATTTCCACCAAGACAAAGCCAGGTGAAGCATACTCAAAGGAAGCGCGCGCCACTTAGTATGCCAGCGCGCCTAAGGCCTTCATCCCCTCAACCCTAAACCTCAAGCCCTAGGATTGAGCCTAAGCCCCTAAGGTCCGAAGACCTTCGTCCACCACCTGACTGGGAGGTCCATGATATGGCAGAAACCTCCCGGATAGTTTCTTGGATGATCTATGAGCTATAATCTACACTTATTAAAGGGGATTATGTAGGGGATTCTATACGCCACCCCTTTATGTTAGGTTGAGGGTTTAGGGTCTAAGCTCCTTAAAGGGGATGTATAGGGGCTTATATAGGCGAGTATTATAGGGATTATGAAGGGGGATACGAGGAGTTTAGACTATGGCTAATATGCATGAAACGTGGTATTCCCTCCCTCCAGTAATAACCCCTTCCCACCCGAAGAATGATGTTTCCCGCATGCACATACAACGATCCCACATTGGGACTATCCATTATCTGGGGGCTGGGGAGGCTTGTTGGGGGCAGGGGATTGCTGAAGATTGTGTTTCCACATGCCTGCAGATCTGCCTTAAAGCCTAAACCGCACACTCTAACCTGAGGAGTCTGATTCCCATCTTTATGGGTTGGTGGCACCACGCAAGCTGCTGATTCTTTACCTGGTAACCATGGTCAGACACTACACGCCAAGTTCCTGCATTTTGTGGTAAGGTTCATCGTATATTGGGGTGTATGATGGAACCACTTATTTTTTGCACCTGGAAGGGTGTTCTGCCGTAACCTTGAAGGCTATCAGAATTACAAAGGGATTGGCCTGGAATTATCAGACCACGCACAGACCAAAAGCCTCTTGGAAAAAGGGGCCGCCGAACTGAAGAGGCTGCAATTATGACGTAAAACCCCTAGCAAAAAGCTCCTGGATTCTAGAATCTTGATCTCATTTTCAGCACAAAGACTAGACCGCTCTAGCTGCAGCGACGGTGATTTGAAGCATCCCCTCACTTAAAAGCTCCTCATATGACCGAGACTTCCTTGGATGTAATGATTGTGTAGGGTCTTCAGGTTCCTGAAGCGGAGATTTTGAGAACCTCCATTTGAACGAGTCACCCTCCACCATCCGTGCCATGAGGCCAAGTGCAGCTTCTACGGGGATCCAAAGCCCCGACTACAATCACCCTCAAGCACTTGAGCCCATATTGATGCAAGTGCAACGCGGTCCAAGGTGCCATGGAGCTCTACTGCAATATATACGGAGGGTTACTGCCGACATCTGCCAACATATTTACTACCTTTCCCAGGCTCACAAATCACCAGCTTCTGTACACGACCCACTAACAGTACATGGTACTGAGTTGCCAGTTCTACCATTCCACAAGTTCGCGCTTTCATCAGGGGTGGCGATGGTAGGCAAGCAGAAAAGGCCAGACAAGCCCTGGCCAGTGGGTCAAGGGTCTTGGACTACATGAGCATAGTCTTTTGTGGTATCAACCGCTTCAGCGGTATCATATGCTATACCTCGGTAGGAAAAACCACGGAATACAAGGGAAAAACTGTTACAAGTACCACGTTGCAGGTTTCTACAGTCATACCAGACCGGTTCGGGATACCAGGTTCTTCCACTGCACTCCTGCACATGAAAAGCTTGGCTGTGTGTTGGGCCTCGTTGAATCTGAGCACCAAGTGCGTGGCTTGGTGCACAGGTTCACAGTCCAGCCCCCACATAAATTAACCGCCCGTCGCGAGGAATCCTCATGACCTAGGAAATGGACGGTTTTACTTAGACCTCTAGACCTGCGACCGCTCACTGCTTGGCCTCTTCGTTGGCAAATTGCTGGTCGCCGTGTTCGCCAGTGGATCCGTACTACCAGGGGATCTCAGTATGAGACCTGCACTACCGCCGCACCTAGCAGGACATGGCATGACCTTGGAAGGGCATCTTGAAATTACCACCCGCGGCAACCCCTGAACCATCATCTTCCGCGAGTTGACGCTCCCCACACCTAACCTTGACTGGCCAGACCCTTACTACCTTACAGAACAAGAATTTCGAGAAAATCCAAATGCGATCGCGGTGCGGCTTGCACCCTCTCGATGAACTCATCCAAAAGCTGGCACTCCTGACCACTCGACTCACCATCAAACTGAATGAAAGTTTGAGAGTAAACGAAGGAAGTCAATACAGGGACTGCCATCAGGAATTACATAAGATTATTGTAGAGCCATCTCGCCGCCCAAACCTATAATCCACATTCATCCGTTACAACCTTTTTCCCTACTTGCACCAAGAAGAGTCAAAAGCTCTCTTAGGTAGCGCGCTTGCGTCTGCAGCACCAAATATTAATGACATTGAGAATGCGAAGCCTCACAACTAGTATCCAGGCTCCCACAAGTCATGTAGCAAACCATTGGCTGGTTGTCCACTCACATGAATCAAGGTCATATTCAAGGCCGCTAAAGTCTGGGGCTGTATGGAGCCATAGGAAAGCTGGCAAAAGACCTTCGCTGTGTTGAAGCGATGGCGCTAGTCTACAGTATTTGATAGTAGCGATAATCATAGTGATAGTGAAGGTAAACAAAAACATGGTGACAGTTCTGACAGTATTAACAACTGGTAGAGGCATCAGTTAGGGCCCAAGGCATCGCTCCTTGGAGTTCTTCTGCATGTTGGGTGGCCGGTGGCCCTGCTCATGAATGCCTTGGCATATGGTCACATTTGCGATTAAACCTAAACAATGAGCTGACTGCAGGAAACCTCATGAAGCGTGAAAGCTCCATATAGACAACCAGGAGCCCAAAAGGTGAAGATCCAAAGAACCATGTTCGTGTAGAGCACGCAAAGAACACAACACGGCCATGACTTTCTACATTTGCAAAGGCCCTCCTTTCGGAACCTGCTCTAGGCCTTCTTAATACTTAGAGATCGAAAACAAAGGGCAGTTAGGAGGAACTGCGCTGCTCCCTTTCGCCAACAGTTCTCAAGTTACACTACTGGGAAACAAACTTGCAACTACCCACCAGCCGGCTGATATGGCACAGAAGGGACCTGATGGGACCTACTAAATGTTTGTGCAAAACGAGCCACTGAGTCCATTACTCAGAGCGCCCTAGGCCAAGGATACTTTCAAAGCAGGATCCAAGTACACTGCCAAGTAGAATCGCATAGGGCCTGGGGATTACATAGGGTTTCTATGGGGCTATGTGAGCTATGGTCTAAACTCCTAGTATCCCCCTTAATAACCCCTATAGTAGTTCCCTATATAATCCCCTATATGTCCCCCTTTAAGGAGTTTAGACTATAGTTCATGTGAGGGATGTGACCCCAAAGTAAAGGCAGCCATGGCCAGCAAAGCCTTGCAGGCTGAGCGACAAATCTGTCGGTAGTTGGGATGGATGTAGAGCGCCTGGGGTTGCCAAGCAAGACACGGAGTTTCTGAGTTTCTCCAAAACGGTGCTACCCGTTAGGACCCTGTGGATAAAGGGTGGCAAGATTGGGAACACAGAGTGATCCCAAGTTGATTCTATGCAGTGACTATACAGTGAAAACTCTCAGGTACATATAACCCCAATAGAACCCCTATATTATCCAAATATATTCCCTATTATACTATAGTAGTTTCCATTTTCTTTTCCATTAGGCACTGACTCATAAAGGGGGAGCCTGCTGGGAGGATCTTACTATTGTCTGGAGCTCATGCATGAAGCTTTGCTGGAAAAGGGGGATGGCAGAGCTTAAGCTATTGTTACGATTATTAATATGAACCATAGTCTAAACTCCTTAAAGGGGGTTATATAGGGGACTACTATAGGGGTTATTAAGGGGATACTAGGAGTTTAGACAGTAGCTCATATGATTACTATTTCTACTATTGTTGCTATGACTACCAGTACTATTACTTTGAAGATGAGATCAAACTGTTCAATAGCAGAGATGTCAGCTGGAGATGGGAACACATGGGACCACGTTAAACACCTCCCTATACTATACTTTGGGTACTGCTCCCAGCTTCGGGTTTGGGGTTTAGGATTTAAGGGATGCCCAACCCTGCGACAGTTTATACTGGGAGTCAGATTAAGGTCTATACATAACTAGTTTTTTGAATATGATACAAGTGTTACAATACCCAAACTATACTACCCTCCTCTGGGTTCCCTCTTAGCTAAGCTGCTGAGGGACAAAAAAGGACGAGGGGTAGTGTTGGGAAGGAGGGGGAGTAGCGGAAACCACAAAATTTGTCTCGGGAAGCGCGAGGATAAATGATCACATCATGAAGCAAAGAGCAGCTCCAGCGACGCAAGAAAAGCCGCCAGGTCCCACTTATTGAACCCTAAACACTGATTCCCAAATCCCAGGGTCCTTCACCGAAGAATGACCTCGCACCCACTTACAGCGGCCAGGAGGTTCAGTGGTGATTTTATTTGGGTCCGAGTGTATGCCTACTATGCGCTTACTTAACCGAACCCTCGAAAATGAAAAGCCCTGAGCCCTGAATCCTAAAC